CAACACCAAACTCATGCATGCCCTCCTCTAAGCTGGCTGAGCCCGCCTCTGATAAATGACCGTGGGGTCCACTCTGGGGTCATCTTCTCCCCTGCCCTCCATATCTCATCAGCCACTGAGATCTGTATCTCTTCAAAATCTCTTCAACACATCCCATGAGTCCATCCACACACTCACAGTCCTGGTCCATGTCCCCTCTGACCTGCACTACTACACTCAAGCTTTCTCAGTTCCTCCTTCAAGGCCCATCTCAGGCATGCCCTCCTCTGTGGCATTTCCTCCCCAAAGAGTGAGCTGGCCTTTAAAAAAAAAATTTTTCCCTCATTCAGTTTTAAATATATGGCTGTTACATCATGTATATCCTAACTATCGTGTTAGTTTTTACTCTGTCCAGCATGTCACTTTGTGTTCACAATAGCAACTGTCATGCCTGTCACAAAGGAACTACTCAAAAAAGTTTATTGAATGAAAAGATGAGTAAATGATTTTTGTGTGTGTTAATTTGAAATCTTTCCTATTTCAGGACTAGACCATGTTGCTTTTCTCTCTATATAATCCGTTATTCTAAAGACATCACAAGGAGCCAAATTCAACAAGCTCCAGGGAGAAGGCAAACTTAAGAGCAGAGTGTGGCAAACACCAGGACAGTAGTTTTCTCTCGGGTGAGCAGGAGGGTCTCTGAGGAAAGTCAGCCATAGCAGGGGGTTTGCACAATGTTCTGTCGATCTGGATGGTAGTTACATGATGATTTACTTTATAGTTGTTTGTTAACATGATACAAACATCCTATGCACTTTTCTGTATATATGTTATATTTAACAATAAAAATTAAATGTTAACCCATAAAAGAACAATCTGAAAAGAAAATTAAGAAAACAATTCCATTTCCAATAGCATAAAAAACAATAAGGTACTTAGGAATAAACCTAACCAAGGAGGCAAAAGTCTTGTATATTGAAAACTACAGAATGTTGCTGAAAGAAATTAAACACCAATAAAGGGAAAGACATCCTGTGTAAATGGATTGGAAGACTTCCCATTGTTAAGATACCAATACTATTGAAAGTGATCTGCAGGTTCAATATGCTCCCTATCAAAATCCCAATGGTGTTTTTTGCAGAAATAGAAAAATCCATCCTAAAATTCATATGGACCCTCAAAGGACTCTGAATAACCAACACAATCTGGAAAAAGAACCAAGTTGGAGGTCTCACACTTCCTGACTTCAAAACGTACTACAAAGCTACAGTAATCAAAACAGTGGGGTACTGGCCTAAAGACAGACATATAGACCAACGGAATAGAATAAACAGCCCAGAAATGAACCCTGGCATATATGGTCAAATGATTTTCCACATGGGGGCCAAGACCATTCAATGAGGAAAGGACAGTCTTTTCAACAAACGGTGCTGGGAAAACTGGATATCCACATGCAAAAGAATGAACTTTTATCTTACACCATGTACAAAATCAGCTCAAACTAGATTAAAGACCTAAACGTAAGAACTAAAACTATACAACTCCTAGAAGAAAACTTAAGGGAAGAGCTTCATTGGATTGGACAATGACGACACCAAAGTTACAGGCAACAAAAGCAAAAACAGATAAACTGGACTACATCAAAATTTAAAACTGTGCATCAAAGAACACAATCAACAGTGAAAAGAACTGGGAGAAAATACTTGCAAATTATGTATCTGGGAAGCAGTTAATATCTAGAATATATAAAGAACTCTTAGAACTCAACAAGAGAGCAAACAACTCTAAAAATGGGCAAAGAACTTGAAAAAACATTTCTCCAAAGATTTACAAACGGCCATCAAATACATGAAGTGATGCTCAACATCAGTAGAATGGTGGTTGCCACAGGTTGGGGGGATGCGGTAATGGGGAGTTAATAGAGTTACAGTTTTGTAGACTATTGTTTGTTTAATATAGTTTTATAGAGTTTCAGTTTGGCAAGATGAGTTCTGGAGACTGGTTGCATAACAAGGTACTTAAGACTACTGAATTATACACTTAAAAGTGGTTAAGATGGGGGGCCAGCTGGGTGGCATAGTGGTTAAGTTGGTGCACTCCACTTTGGTGGCCCAAGGTGTGTGAGTTTGGCTCCTGGGTGCGGACCTATGCTCCGCACATCAAGCCATGCTGTGGCAGCATCCCATATACAAAATAGAGGAAGATGGGCACAGATGTTAGCTCAGGGCTAATCTTCCTCAGCAAAAAGAGGAGGATTGGCAACGGATGTTAACTCAGGGCTGATCTTCCTCACACACACACACACAAAAAATGGTTAAGATGGTAAATTTTACATTATATGTATTTTACAACTAAAAATTAAAACTATATAGTTGCTAATAAAGATATCAGAAATCATTTTTTTAAGTGGATCATAGACCTACATGTAAGCTAACACTATAGAATTCTTAGATGAAAACAGAGGAATAAATTTCCATAAGCTTGGATTAGGTAATGGTTTTCTTAGATGCACCAAAAGGAAAAACATAAATTGGAATTCATAAAAATTAAAAATTGTGCTTCAAAAGGCAGCATCAAGAAAGTGAAGACGGGTCGGCCCAGTGGTGTAGGGGTTAAGTGCAGGCGCTCCACTTCGGCGGCCCGAGGGTTCGCAGGTTTGGATCCTGGGCGCGCACTGAAGCACCACTTGTCAAGCCATCCTGTGGCGGTGTCCCATATAAAGTAGAGGAAGATGGGCACGGATGTTAGCCCAGGGCCAGTCTTCCTCTGGAAAAAGAGGAAGATTGGCATCGGATGTTAGCTCAGGGCTGATCTTTCTCACACACACACACAAAAGGAAAGTGAAGACAAACCACAAATCGGGAGAAAATGTGCCAATCATTTGTCTTTAAAGAATTTGTACACACAATATGTAAACAACTCTTACAACTCACTTTATATTTGTATAAAGGCAACTAACTCAATTGAAAAATGGACAAAGGACTTGAATAGACATTTCTCCCAAGACAGACAAATAGTCAATAAGCACATGAAGACATACTTAACATCAGTAGCCATTAGGGAAATGTCAGTCAAAATACCAATTGGATACTACTTCATACCTAATAGAATGGCTATCATCAAACAGATGAAAAATAACTGTTGGTGATGATGTGGAGAAATTGAAATCCTCATACATTGTTGGTGGGAATGTAAAATGGTATAGCCATTGTGGAAAAGTTTGGCAGTTCGTCAAATTGTTAAAGTTGGAATTATCATATGACCCAGTAATACCATTCTTAGGTCTATACCCCGAAGAAATGAAACATGTTCATGCAAAACTTGTTTATGAATGTTCATGGCATTAGTTATAATAGCCTAAAAGTGCAGAAATCCAAAGTCCATCAACTGATGAATGGATAAATAAAATGTGGCATATCTATACTATGGAATATTATTCAGCAATAAAGAGGAATGAAGTACAGACAGATGCTACATATGGATGAACCTAGAAAACATGGTAAGTGAAAGAAGCGAGTCACAAAAGACCACATATAATTCCATTTTTATGACATGTCCAGAAAAGGCAGATCTACAGACACAGAAAGTGTATTAAGTGGTTGCTAGGAGCTGGGGGGAAAAGGAGGAATGGGAGTAACTGCTAACGGGTATGGGGTTTCTCTTTGGGATGATGAAAATGTTCTGGAATTAGTAGTGATGGCTGCCCAACTCTGACTAAAAAAAGAAATACAAAACTGAATTGTATACTTTAAGGGTGAATTTTATGGTATCTGAATTTCTCGAACTGAAGCTCTCAAGCTGTTACCAAAAAAAAAGATAGGGTTCTATAAAATAATTTTAGAGTTTCTTATCAAAGTTTTAATAAAATTTATCACACTTAAATAGGTATACAACAGTTATTGAAAAAAATCCATCATTTTCCCTTTCCCAGTGAAAAGTGATACACACAATAGACCTCAGTGATATTCTGCAACAACAACCAGTGCTGGTGTGGAATTCTCACAACTTTAGATGACCCTTTAAAAAAGCAAATGAGCTACCAAATACCTTGATTGCTCTAACTCCAGTGAACTGTGGATGTATGAAGATGCTATATGGTTCTTCATTATTCTTCAACACCAAAAATAGAGTTGGAAACTTGGATTCATATTTGGCTCTCTACTGTATTAAGTGATCAGAATAAAATATTCTGATTCTGTTTTAAGCATTTCATGTTTTTCAATCTTGCTTTCTATAGTGAACATCTGTTGTTTCCATTTGCTCTGAATCCTTCTTTCCTTCTGGGCCAAGGCCCACCACTCATCTAATGTGATTCTGACAGGAGTTACCAGTTACAGTGCATGAGACCCAGGCTTGGCTGAGATCATGGAGCCCCATCCCTTCTTCCACAGGGACTGGTCTAATTCAAGGGTATGTGATCCAGGAACAACAACAATCCTTTTGTAGGATTTGACTACTGGACCCTAGAAAAGGAGGTTCTCTTTCTTTGAATCACAGATCTGAAGGATGTGTGCTTTTGGCTGACACTGGCCTCTTTCCCATTATGTAGAGAGGGCCAGCCTGAAAATGAAGCCAGGCAACAGAAAACCAGTCAAGAGATGGAGGCAAAGAGCCATGGCAACATAATTCCAGGTTTTGCATCCAGCTATGCCTGATGTATGATAGGAACGTTTTCAGGTTGTTACTTCAGTGAATCAGTGCAAATGAAGCATTTCTTCTCCAAAGAATCAAACACAATTTATTTTAGAACTAAATAGGACAGATTGAGTAAAAGAAAGTTTTATTCTAAACTTTCCCAATAGACATTTTCTCCTCAGGCTCCATGTTATTGATTTTAACAGTCTCATCAGTGGCCTTAGTAATATTTACAAAGGATGTACAAACTGTGTCATTTGGCTGAAGAGTCAAGTTTGATCTTTGTGCTTTGGAACAATTCTCAAAACATTTATTATGCTCCCAGCTCATAACTGTTCAATTAAAATTTTCTTCTAAAAATAACTTAGAGCAAGAGAATCATTTACTTCATACATATTCAAAAACAGAACCCATACATTTTCTCCAGTGTTCCAGGGAGGGAAAAACTGGTCCAACCAAACAGATGTAGCAAAAAGTATGTTTCCTATTTTGGCTTCTCTGTTTTACTGGAGAGAAAAATCCTTTGTTGATTTCATCTTGGTTTCAACATAATAGTATCAATATCCTTTTCTTCCTCTGAATCTTGATCTGGCATCCAACTAAAAATTAAATCAAATTTTGTTAACATAATTAAACAAACACAACTTTGGTAAGGGGTATCACTACATGAGAGAAATAAACCAGTTGCCAGCACAATCAAAAACACAATTGTCAGAGCTACCAGGAAAAAACAAAATAATACTGATGGCATTAAAAACAAAAGTTCCATTTAAGGTCACAATAAGGATTTTCTTCTCAAGTAGACTCCAACTTACATTTATCTTTTTCTCTGACCTGCACTCAATATCTGTTCTTCTAGCAAACAACTTTCTAATTAAATTTTGTTTGGTCTAATATTCAAATGTATTTGAAATCTTTAAATAGCAAGAGAAAAAAGAAGCGAGAGCCCTGAAAAATGTTAAGTGACACAGCCATTTGGGGATTAAAAATCCTTAAATTACCTACTCATAGGATGACAGCATGTTCTCTGACTTAAGCCTCACAGTGTAGCCTCTTCCTAAGGGTGGTGGGGTAGAGTGGAGGGCCCTAAAGTCGGTATATGAGACAAAATTACATAGAGTCAATATCACTCCCTAGAAATTCTATAGGAGGGAATTATTTTGGAGACAGACCCTATTAATGAGTCTTAACACAGCCAGTGTGGGACAGACACCCATTTCTTCATCTGATCACTACATAAAGTGGCTAAAAGCCATATTTTCAAAAAATTAATAATCTTTAAACATGGGAATCATAATCAGGATGATGAGATGCTTATACCATGAGGGAACAGCCGATTCAAACTTCCCAGCTCACCTTCATTCTGGGTTATATACTCATTGTTTGAAATATTAACCAAAATTACCAGCACAATTTGTTATATTTTAGGTTTTTGCCAAGTGTGTATAACTGAAGTTGCGTTAGCTAAGTGTGACGTGACTCCATATCTTGGAAGACTAATAGTGAATCACAGTCTTGGTGAAAGGCTGTAAGAATGTACTACTCTGCTAGAAAGTTCCATAGACTGCCCTCTCCAGTGTCAAAGTATAAGTGAAGCTCTGCCTTGTATTGATATTTAGAACTGATCAGAAGCACTTTTACTTTTTATTCAAGATTATTACAAATTTCTGCAGAAGGTAGTAGATAAACTGAAAAATTTTTAAATGTTCTGATTTCTCATTAAAGTTTATTTTTTTTGTGAGGAAGATCAGCCCTGAGCTAACATCCGTGCTAATCCTCCTATTTTTGCTGAGGAAGACCGGCTCTGAGCTAACATCTATTGCCAATCCTCCTCCTTTTTTTTACCCCCAAAGCCCCAGTAGATAGTTGTATGTCATAGCTGCACATCCTTCTAGTTGCTGTATCTGGGACGCGGCCTCAGCATGGCCGGAGAAGCGGTGCATCAGTGCACGCCTGGGATCCGAACCCAGGCCGCCAGCAGCGGAGCGCGTGCACTTAACCGCTAAGCCATGGGGCCGGCCCCTCGTTAAAGTTTTTGGAGATCAAAGACTGAACTTTCAGCAGGGAATTCCAGGGAGTTTATTATGAATTCAGTCGTTGGATATGATTAAATAGTATAACTCATCATTCTCTCCTATACTAATTGTGCTTTAGGACTTCTCAATTATCTAAACATGATTTGAAATTCTTGAAAGATCTAAAGGCTTGCATTTTACATTGGTATCAAAACTATGTGAGAAAGGGCAAGAAAATCTCTCTTTTTGTGCATTAAATGAAAGGAAAATATGACAGAGAACTCTCACTTGAAAAAGGACAGACAGCATGGCCACATTTAATCTAACTTTGTACCACCCTGGTCTAATTAGACAGCAAACATGCTCAAGTTCTTTGTGTGGCCTCCCGGGTCATAAATGTCCTATATACTCCTCCTGTCAACAAAAGGGAAGTGATTTGCAGTGCAATTCCTAAACAAACAAAAGCAGGTTCAAGTTCAAATTATTCTTTCTTTAAAGGGATGTTCCTCTTTCTGATTTCATACTTTCTTTTCACAAAAAAAGGGCTCTCAGTTTCCATTCCAAAGATCTTTGTAGATCTTTGAAATCAAAGAATGTCAGAGCAGAAACCTTGCCATGTGTAATGTCCTCAGGCTCTCCTTCCACAATCTATCACTAAAAATTCAAACGCTGTCTCCTAGTCACATCTACACATAAGGCACAGTGCCTACACCTCAGACCTCCACATTATGGGTTTGTGTACAATTGCAAAATGACCTGAATTCAGTGACCAACACCAACTTTTACCCATTTATACTTGCCAAGACTTCATTCTCATACTTTCAGAAATTCATAAAGATCAGCAGCTGTGGTTAGCACAGTGGTGGAAATACAGAACGAGCTCAGGTTTTCATGAATGCTGTCTAACCTTAACTCACTGGAGGAAGAAATAGCATCTGCGTCCTTTCTTCCAGATGATGTCACTGCAACCTATTTATAATTACCAAGTCACATACACATTTAACTCCATATAGCTAATTTTTAGCATGAGCTTTGAAAAATCTTTAACTACTTACCATTGATCGTTTACATTCAAAAAACGAGTATTTCAGAGCTTTGCAGTTTCCCTCCTTCAGACACTGCCGAGGGGACTTTCCTTCCTACGACACACAAAGCAATATAAATACCTGGGAAATTTTCTGAGTACAAAATAACTGTCCTTCTAAAAACAGTTCTTTTAATAAAAGTTAAACAAAAGAAGAAAATACTAAATTACATAAGAAATAGTTTGTAATTCACTTTGACTGCTGGTGCTTAAGGAGAAAACGATAGAATAAAAAAAGTGTAAAATAATTTGGGGGCATGTTAAAGGTGCTCTTGGGTTCTTGAAAACACTGGTTTCCATGGGATACTTTTCTTTAAAATGTTTATATAAAAATCTAGAATTTGCTATCTTCAGCTCCTTGTGGGTAAGAAAGGGAAAGAGTAAAGGTGAAAGTAGTAATGGGGTTTCGCCAATGTTTTTAAAACTTGTACACTTAAGAACTCCTAAAGACAGAAGAAAGCAGTGTGTGTTGGAGAGGGAAGAGGGGAGAGTGGAGCGGGGAGAGGAGCGAGTGCAACAGGCCTGCAAGCCCTGGTATGAGGGATCAGGCATCAGCAATGGTGAATGGGAGGGTTAGTTCTGGAAGGTACTATCAAGTGGCTTTAAAGTCTCCAGTTATATCCTTTTAATGCAAGCAATTTAACTCCAATATATCTCAGCATTTTCCCACCCCCTACCCCTAGTCAAGTTCTCTATTCTGAGAAGCTCAACTGCGTAAGAATTGGAAGAGGAAATGGAGATATTAACCGAATTTACATATATTTGCGAGAGAAGATCTGCTTAGGCCTGATGTGAAATGAACTCATCTTTGAGCAGTGAAAGCTCAAAAGGAGATGAAGAAGAAAACCGGATTAAACCATTCTCTTTCTGCCATGAAGGCAGGATGCTGCGACAAGAATGTTCAGAGGAGAAATGCTTATTTCTGACTCTTACAAAATAATAAAACTTTTTAAAAACTGTAACTATTAAAAATCAGACTTGACAAAGTACAACTGTGAAACTAGGTAAGAGCTAAAATTTAGTAGTATTTTTTTCAAGGTAAACATGGAATAAAAATCCTAATACTACCTCTTCGTTATTTTAAAATATTTTGAATATACCGCCATAAATTTAACACAACAGCACTTAAAATATATTAGACACATGGAAGCACATACAGAAAGTATATTTCACAATTTAAAGAGGCAAGATTAAAATTTAATTGCAGCGAAATTTTTTTGAACACCCTACCCTACTGATCTGTCTAGTAACTAAAACCTCGCAAGGACTAATTTATAAAAAAAAATTCACAACAGTCCTAGATCAGTGTAGTGGGAGGTTAAACAATCAACACTAGATATTCCTGCCTACACAGGGCTGTAATAGCAGCTAGGAAAGGTGGGCACGTACAAGCGCTGACTGGCAGTGTGAGCGTGTAACAAGCAGGGAGAGATGCTAAGGGGGCTTGGTTTCAGGGAATGTAAATATATAAAATAACATCTGGAAAAAGTAGATGCAACTTGAATTTTCTGAATCACCTGAGGTTTAATGACATCAAACTATGATTTGCAATTCACAAGGAAAAAGAAGTCAAAACCTTACATTACTATTAAAGAAATAATAAAAGTAAAACACACTGCTTATAAACATTAGCCTTACGCAGTGCTTGACAATATAAAGATCGTGAAGTCTTCCTACTGAAGGTGAGTTCCAACGTAAAATGAGTCAAGCAACTTTGTCTGAGAATCAGAATGACCCTATTCAGTGTTAACCTTAAAAGTTCAAACAGCCAGAATCAGGTGCCCTAAAATCAGAACACTTTTAGTCTTGGTACTAAACACTTTAGACAGACGTTAGTGAGGTCGACTAGAGTACTACCTACATAGAAACACCTGGTGCGTTCATGCACCAGGAAAGATGTAACCCAAATTTCACCTGCTCTTCGTCATCAGGGATTTCCTCTCCAGCAGATTTTGACACAACAATCCCACCACTGCAACTACTCCCCAAAACCTTTATTTTGCAAGTGCCGGTCACACTCCTAGTTTTGACTGTGGAAAAAGCTGCAGGATACCACATCGGTGGCATTCCTCATCCCCGGGAATCCTGGCCACTTCCTAGTCCTTATGTCTGCTTGGGTCCTAGATTTCAACTGTCATCTGCATCAGTGAATCTCAAAAGTGAATCAGAACAGAGCAGAAAGCTTCCTTGCACTATTATGTTCCTCCTCCAAACTCTGTCATGAGGGGCTGCTGATGGGATGTGTGTTGCCCACATCAACAATGGGAGGAAGACAAAAGACTGTAACTACAAAAGACTATAATTTATAAACCGATGCTTCCTCAAACTGTAGCTAAGATGCCATCTTCTTCACAAGCTTTCAACCCATACCGCCAACTGCCTGGTGGGAAGATCCACCTAGATACACTAAACCTAAGAGAGAAATGTTAATTCATCTTCCTCCACCTCCACTCCAAATGGCAGACTGCTAGTTGTCCCTTAATATCTACTCTTCCTTTTTAAAAAGGGGGGCATATGGCTGGGCTAGATTTCCCAGCCACCCTTGCAGCTGGGTGTGGTCATGTGACTAAGATCTAGCCAATGGATTATGTGGGGGAACCAAAAGGTAAAACTTCTGGGTTGGTCCTGAAAGGAAAGTGGCTTGGCCACCTTCCCCACTTTACTCCATCATGTTACTAGCCTGATGATGTGGAAGCAAGGCAATATTAGACCATGAGTGTGAAAGTAACATCCTATCTTTCATCACAGCATCTGAAACCACAAGATCAATGGTGTATGGGTCCACGGAAGACAGAGAGGCGCTCTACTCATAGGCCCAAGAGCAAAAAGGAATTCTCTATCTTGTTTAAGTCATTGTTATTCTGGGTCTCTGTAACATGTACCTGAACTTAGATCCTAACTAATACACTCACAAGCTTATTTGCCTTCTGAGGTCAAGATTGGTGATTCCCAAACATGGCTGTGCCCAAGAATCAACCTGGGATACTTCTAAATTATTTGTGGTGGAGGGGGGGAGCAGTAGAGTCTGTACTTGTAAGCTCTCGGCCCCCATCTCCAGGTGATTCTGATGAGGAATCAGCAAGTCTGGAAGCTGTTAATAGAGACACAAAGGAGATAAGTTGTGATTTAGGTTCCTTGGGCATAGTGTCAACCGTTTTTATCCCTCAGGAGTTATAAAATCCTAAGAAGTCTGTCTAAGAGATGCCTTTTGAATCTTTTTCCTTGCTTCTCCTCTCTAGCCCCACTAGAGGTTACCTCCTTATCACCATTACCCTGTGTTTCTCTGAGCCTCTCCAGTTCCTTGACTGTCTCCCATCCCAGCAGCTAGAACTAAATATTTGTTTATGTTGAATTCCTCCCTAGAGTGAGGTCCAGCAGCTTTTCAGGTGAGTTAAAGATGAGCAAGGAGAGACTACAGCATCCATTTGCCAAAAGATCAGATTAACTTCTTTATTCAAAGAGCTAAGGAATCAAAAATCTTATCATAAATGAGGTGGCCATGCAGAGCAGGCACAGACCTCAGCAGAACTTCCCTTGGTCTTCCGAGTCCCTATGGGGAGTGGTGGGCTGTAGCTGCCAGTAACACCATCCGAGAAGACAGGATATTGTCCTGGATCTGCAAAACTCATTGTTTGGCCTCAGTACTGCCCTTTTACACTCCAGCTACAGTCACAATTCAGGATGAATTTAACACAACCTGTAAATGCACTTCCGTTTAAGGGACTGTTCATAAACATCAGGTTCTGCTAGTGACCTAATTCAGCATCAATAAGGCCACATACTCAACGAGGCAAAAGCGAAGTCTGTGCCATGTGTCCTGGTCATTATCTCTGCCTACAGCTTTCCAGTGATCCAATTTCTACACAGGAGTGAACATGTCCCATTCATCTGTATGTCCTCTGAATTAGGGCTTAGCACTCAAATGTTTGCTAAAGAAACGAATCAATGACTGCAAAAACCAACTTGGTATTCTCCTTGCCACCATTATCCTCCTCTACTTCCTGAGTTTCTTTCCTCAGTCCTACTCTTTGTACTTTATTCCTTTGATTGTTCACCTCCATGGCCTTCCTGATGCTGTCTGGATAAAATCCAAGTTCCTCACTCTGACACACAAGGGCCTTCACACATGGCAACCTTCCTTTCAAGCCTTCTGTCACATTCCCCATCCTCCAGGCCCTCCTACATCTCCCCAACTCTGCACATGCTGTTCTTTCAGATTCTCCCACAACCACCACAGCCCCCACAATTCTACTTTATCAACTCCTCCTCAACCTTTAAGACTCAAATCAAATGTCACCTCCTCTGTAAGAAGTTTCCAAATTCTCAAGCAAAATAAGTTGCTCTCCACTGGGCTCCCAAGGCATTTTGCTCCTAAATCTACTCATTAAACAGATATTTACTAAATGCTTACACAGCCCTTATCAAGGGATTTAGCCCGTTTACATGTCTATTCTTCCCATCAGACCAAGCTTACACAGGCAGCGACTGTAACTGATTCATCCCTGTATCACCATTGCCTGGCATCACACCTACCACTTAACAGGCATTTACTAGGAGCTGGCTGAATATGAAGCAGCAGATTGCAAACAGCCCTGGACAGGGGAGCCTAAAGGCAGGGCACCTCAGTGTCCTCATCCGTATAAAAAGAGCTAGACTGGATAACCACTTAAATTCATAACAACTCTGAAGTTTTACTAGACACTGGGAAGCCAGTCTGGCTGACTGCTAACATCAGTGAACCCAACATAAATCGTGAATCAGTAGAAACACTCATCTAGCCTGATGGTGGATGTCCATTTTGTGATAGTTGTCTTTTCTTGGAAATAAGACCAACTTTCTGAAATTACATCTCCGAATGCAAAACTAATTGCACACAATCGACTGCCCTTCTCATCAGGCCTTTGTGATTGGAAAACGCACTTGAGCTTCAGTTGGGCTCTAGGCCGGAACCCAGGTCCCCAGGCAACTCTGACCCTCACTGCGTGCCTCACTCCGTCCAGACTGGCTCCTGAGAAGACGTGTGGCTGTGGTGAGGGACGAGTGCACGGGAAACAAGATACAAAACGGTGACAACATGAGCTGCCTCATTTACAACTGACCCAAGAATGTAGACAACTGCAACTCAGACACCAATTCAAACCAGCACCGGGAAAATATAGTACATATTCAGCCACAACTGAACAGGGAGAGGAGAAATCACGAGCCAGGAGTGTACCAGGTTTATGTAATTCTCCGACAATTTACTCTAAAAAGATTCCCCTTTTCTAAAGCGCAAGAAACCTGTCTTATTCTCCTTTACATCTCCAGAACCTAGCAGAGTGGCGGCACTCAATAAACGTTGCTTGAACGGAAGTGGTTTAATCCTTACAAAAAACCCAACGGGGCGGTATCGTTATCTCCAATTTGACACCGGAGGGATCTGAGGCTCCGACAGCGCATATGCCCAAGTTCCTTAAACTGGAGCTGTGGTCTACACCCCGGACAGCTAACTCCGAGTCACGCCTCCTGACGGCCCCCGCAGGCCGACCGCGAGCCCTTCGCGGGGCCCCGCCGCCCGGTTTCAGGCGTCGGCACGCCCGAGCGCCCGGCCGCGCTACCTTGAGCACACAGTCCGACTGCAGCAGACAGGCGCCCAGGTCCTCCCGCACGCCCGCGCACGCGCCGCCCTCCGGCTTGTCCTCGTAATACCGGGGCATGACTGCGCCTCCCGCCCGCAGCGCCCCGACCCCCTCAGGCCGCAACAGCCGCCACCCGCCGGGAGCAAGCGACTCCCGCGGCAGGAGGAACCGGAAACCGACAGCAACAACTTCCGGCGGGCGCGCGGCGGAAGTGGGCGCACGTGACGCGTCCCGCCCCCGGCGCTGGCTACGTTGCGGGAAGGGAAGTTGGCCCGGCGGCTGCTGGGCGGAGGTGGCGGGGTAGTTTGGCGCCCGGCGGAGGCCGCAGCGGGGTCCAGGTGAGGCCTGAGGGCCGCTCGGTCCGCGCGCGGCTCGGGCTCGCCTGGTGCCGTTTCCTCCGGCGACTCGCGGCCCGACCTCCCTGGGCCGTGGAGGGACCATGTCCGGGTCCCGCTGCTCGGCCCGCCGGAGGGTTGCCGGATGAAATCCAGGACGCCCAGTTCCAGTTGAATTTCAGATAAACAACGAGTGGTGTTTCAGTATGAGTGTGGCCCACGCGATGTTTCGGACACGCTCATACTAAAAATATTCTTGTGTCTGAGGTTCAAATGTAACTGGGCGTCCTTTGTTTTTACTTGCTCAATCTGGCAACCCTGCCCGCGGCCCCGGGCTGGCGGGGGTCCTCTGGGCCCGGCGAGGCGCTGCTGGCGTCCCGGAGGCCTGGGGTGTGGAGCCGGAGGCTGGGCTGGGCTGGGCTGCCGGGGCGGGGGGGCCGGGCGGTGACCTGCGTTTATCTGGCTTCCGACTGGTTCCAGGGGACTCCCACGCTGTCATTCCCCCTGCTGAACTATTCAGGGAGTAAAACGCTATGGATTGGAGTTTTGCTTTGTTTTGTATCACGTTTTAGTGAACGAGTTGCTTGCTGGTCACGCGCCGATGGACCTCTGGGATTAGGCCACTTATTTTATCTCGTCGGTAACATTGTTTCTAATTGGCTTCAAGAAAGGCTTTCCCTTCAAGGCTTGATGGTTGAGAGCGCGGAATTTTGAGCAAGAGTGCTTGAATTTGAATTTTGGCCCCATCACTATCTGTGTGCTCAAGAGGGGGTTACTTCACCTCTCAGGGAGTCTGTTTCCTCCCTCCCTTCCTCACCGTAGCTACCTGGGGGGGCTCTCTGAGGATTGAGGGAGGTGAAGTGTGAATAAGTGTTGTTACGGTGGTTTAGAAGGCTGTGGTACCATCCTTGCCTGAAGTGCAGCTGGCAGTTCTCGAGCCCCCAAAACAAGCCTTAGAAACAACTCCATTCGCTTTTGACCCCTGCCTCTTCTCGTGGATTGGGGCGGAAATGTAAAGTGACCTTCCTCCTGGATAATTCAAAAGAGGGGTGATGGGAGCCAGCTGTTTCTTGAGATGACTTGTAAAAGGATTTTTTTCTTGTATCTAGGAAGATGTTACCAAGTATGTCAATGAATTCCCCAGTGCAGGGGAACGGAGCCCTGAATTCCAGGGATGCAGCAAGACACACGGCTGGAGCAAAGCGCTACAAATACCTGAGAAGGCTTTTTCGCTTTCGGCAGATGGACTTTGAGTTTGCTGCCTGGCAGATGCTCTACCTGTTTACGTCCCCACAGAGGGTTTATAGAAACTTTCATTATCGAAAGCAGACAAAGGATCAGTGGGCCAGAGATGACCCTGCTTTCTTGGTCCTGTTAAGTATCTGGCTCTGTGGTAAGTGTTAGTTTACCTGCAATAGAGTTGAAGGAGAAATTGAGTGTTTCACGTTGGACTTGTCATTTGGAGAATCTTTGGTTATAAATGTATTATGGGTCAGAATTTGGGGCTATTTGAAGCAGTTGCTTCCTTTCTGAGGCCTCAGAAATCTCCTCAGAGGAAACAAGATTGTATTCTTTCTGGTTCTAAGGTCCCAAGCAGACGCCAGAGTAAACTGTTACCTGGGAACTTTGAAAAGCAGAGGACAGAATCACTCTGTCTGTTAAGTACTATGATAAATAAATCAAGACGCAAATGCCAACTTACTGTGAAAAGGAATATTGAGATTGGAAATTGCATTTCACAATCAGGCAGGTCCAGAGTGAGAGTTGTCAAAGTACTGATGTGAACTTGAGAAACTACTTGAGTTCTCCAGTAGTGTAGTGAAAGGGTCCTAACCAGCTTTAGTGTGTTGAAGTGTGTAAGATTTTTTTCACCTTTACCTGGACTTAAATATGTGAACGCTTTTTCAGTACTAGTGGTGTCCTAAATGCTGGGGCTACCCTGGTGAACCACAGACTGACAGGGGCCTCCTCAGGAAACTTCAGATATCTCAGTGGCCATTTTGTGTTCCAAGGTGGTCTGCATTTCTTAATCAGTTACATAGAACACATGTTTGGGGTTCTGTTTACATACTAGACTGTGGGCATCTGGAGGGCGGGGACTGGGCCCCACATCCCTAGAACCCAGCAAAGTGCCTGAATGCGTCTTGTAAATCTTTTCCAGTATCCACTATAGGATTTGGCTTTGTGCTGGACATGGGATTCTTTGAGACGATAAAGCTTCTCCTTTGGGTTGTATTCATAGATTGTATAGGCGTTGGTCTTCTCATATCAACTTTAATGTGGTAAGTACCATAACTTTGGTTTTTCAGATGCTGCTTAGAGCCTCCATTTGCTTGCTTCAGAGGTATAGTAGCTGATGGAAAGTAAAACGAGATAGACGAATGAAAACATCAATTTTGACTGCCAAGGTTATCAGAAAATAAGGATGGTCTGTATTGTCAAAGTGCAGCAAATAAGTAAATGGAAATAATGATTATATCATACTGATAAAATCCCCGATTTTGCAAAAATATTATGCAGTTAGCCAATTCTGCTTCAGTTGTCTGGGTGATGGCACAATTTTCTGTGGCATTTGTCAGTGGGTCACTTGTAGTCGTATACGATCCAGAGGGTTATTTCATGGAATCTTTGAATCTTTGGCTTTAAATGAAGTACACTTGAAAAGGGGTTGTTGTTGTTGTTGTTGTTACAAAACTTTTGGTGCCTTCCTGCTGAGAGACATGCACGCAGAGGTTTTATTGGAAGAGTTCTCAGTCTGACTTGTCTGGGTTTGCTTTAACAACAGTAGTGTCCTAAGTATAAATCTCGTGTTAGGTTTTTCAGTTTCTCACAGATAGAGTGCTCCTGTGTGGCTGGCATGCTGGGTGAAGGGAATGGATGTGGGGAGTGAGCTCAGTAGAGAGCCAGTGGCTGAGTAGGGGTGGTGGTCCTTGTATATCAGAGAAAACACCATGGAACGTTTTAGTCACAGAGAGACCTGGGTTTAGGCGCCAGTACTGTGGAACCCTTAGCCCCAGTCTCCTCTTTTGTAAAATGGAGTTAATTATCTTATTTTGTAAGGTACTTGAGAAGACTGTGGTATGAAAAGCACCTGGCATACCAAAAAATGGTAGCTATTAATATTTTAAACAAAATTTTGAGCCTATAACCTCTGATGATACCAACGTTTTATTTTCCTTTGTAACTTCTGATAGTACAGTATAGATTTTGATGTGCTAGGTAGTCAGTAAATGCTTTGCATTGTTAATCTAAAATTCTAAAATGTGATCTAAAAATAATACTGCTGACTAATTTAAGTCACATATTCATTATCCAAATACCCGTGAAAAACATGGTATATGAAAAAATTTCAATAAATAAGGCTTTCGAAAGAATAGTTTGTAGCATGCTTCCTGCCATAAATGCATTGATCGTGGAGGGCCACAGAAACCAGGTCACGCTGGAGTTTAGTACTTTTAGTATTAGTCTGTATCGTAGTTTGAGTTAAGTAGAAAAGGACTCAGTATATTTTTGAGAACCTACGTTGTGTTGTGAATTGCGTGAGGACCTAGAAATAGAAATGATGACACATGATTGCGGTCATCCCAGAGGTGCCACAGGAACAACGTGAGGGGGTGTTTAGGGAGATGGGCTAGTTGATTCCTGGTACCAAGGGCACAGGCACAGAAGTGTGGAACAGCATGCTAGGTCGTAGAGTGAGAGTAGAGTGTAGAGTGTAGAATGACACTGAATGGCTGGGAAAGAGATGTGACTAGAGAAATTGGCCTTAAATGCAATTCAGAAAAAAGAATTGGACTTTATTTCATGTGTGGGTTGGGGGGCGGGGGAGAGGTGGGGAGCTTGGAGGCTTTGAAGTAAGGAAATGTTAGATTCACACTTGAGGAAAAGTCTGTTCTGTGGCAGGGAGGAGAAGCTGGAGAAGAGCGCAAGGCTGGATACAGTTGTGGGGTCTGCCTAGGAGTAGAGAAGGCCCAGGCTAGTGTGATGACCATGGGAAGAGAGAAGAGAGAGAGGGGTTAGAGAGTTTCCGTGATAACAGGATATGATGAGGGCAGGGAAGAGGAGAGGCCGAGGCCTCCTCTGGGATGGCCTGCAAGTTTCTGGCTTAGGAGTAAGTGGCAGGTGCCGAGGAAGCACTCCACGTCGGACATGAATTCAGGTGGCTTGTTGAATATTAGTGGAAATAAAGGTTCAGTAGACACTGGGGTAGATGACTGTGAACCTGCAACAGTCTGGGCCAAGATGAGGACGTGCCTGGCATCATTAATATGGAAATGGAAGGTGAAAACCACAGTTGTCCTTGAGCTCTCTCAGAAGGATTTCTGTGTTCTAGAGGTAAGACTCCAACTGAGGACAGAAGCCTGGGAAGTGCCTCTTTAAGGAATAAGCAAAGGGAGCAGCAGGAGGAGGACCACAGAATGGGAACTTGTTGGCAGTGAGCTAGATGCTTATTCCACTCATTTTATTTTTGTTAGTTTTTAACTGAAGTATCATTGGCATACAATATCCTATTAGTTTCATGTGTACATCATAGTGATGTGATATTTATATACATTACAAAATGATCACAATAACTCTAGTTACCATTTGTCACCATACAAAGTTATTACAGCGTTATTGACTATATTCTCTATGCTGTACATTATAGGCATACCTCAGAGATGTCACGGGTTTGGTTCCACACCATCACAATAAAGTAGTCACACAAATTTTTTGGTTTCCCAAAAAATGCATAAAAAAGTTGTTTATACTGTAGTCTGTTAAGTGTGCAATAGCACTATGTGTAAAAAACAATGTACATACCTTAATTAAAAAATACTTTATTCCTGAAAAATGCTAACCATTATCTGAGCCATCAGCAAGTCATAATCTTTTTGCTGGTGGAGGGTTTTGTAAAAAATGTAGTATCTGCCAAGTGCAATAAAGCAAAGTGCAGTAAAGTGAGGTATGCCTGTATATCCCCATGACTTATTTATTTTATAACTGGAAACTTTTACCTCTTAACCCCCCTCACCCCTCTGGTAACCGCCAGTTTGTCTCCTGTATCTATGAGTCTGTTTCTGTTTTGTTTGTTCATTTGTTTTGTTTTTTAGATTTCACTTATAAGTGAAATCATAGAATGTTTGTTTTTCTCTGTGTGACTTATTTCACATACCATAATACTCTCCAGGTCGATCTATGTTGTCGCAAATGGCAAGATTTCATTTTTTTTTTTTTATGGCTGAGTAATATTCCATTGCATGTACGTACCACATCTTTATTCATTCATCCATTGATGGACACTTAGGTTGCTTCCGCTATTGCAAATAATGCTGCAATGAATATAGGGGTGAATATATCTCTTTGATTTAGTAATTTCATTTTCTTTGGATAAATACCCAGAGGTAGAATTGCTAGATTGGATGGTAGTTCTATTTTTAATTTTTTGAGGAATCTCCATACTGTTTTCTGTAGTGGCTGAACCAAATTTACATTCCCACCAACAGTGTACGAGGGTTCCCTTTTCTCCACATCCTCTCCAACACTTATTTTTTGTCTTTTTGATAATAGCCATTCTGACAGGTATGAGGTGGTATCTCATTGTGGTTGATTTGCATTTCCCTGATGATTAGTGATGTTGAGCATCTTTTAATGTGCCTGTTGGCCATCTGTATATCTTCTTTGGAAAAAATATCTAAGTCCTTGGCCCATTTTTTTAAATCAGGTTATTTGGTTTTTTGATATTAAGTTGTGTAAGTTCTTCATATATTTTGGATATTAACCGCTTATTGGATGTATGATTTGCAAATATCTTCTCCCATTCAGTAGGTTGCCTTTTCATTTTGTGGATGGTTTCCTTTGCTGTGCAAAAGCTTTTTAGTTTGAGTTACTCCTATTTGTTTATTTTTGCTTTTGTTGCCCTTGCCTGAGGAGACTGGTCCAAAAAAATAATGCTAAGACTGATGTCACAGAGCTTACTGCCTGTGTTTTCTTCTAAGAGTTTTATGGTATCAGGTCTTAGATTCAAGTCTTTAATCTATTTTGAATTTATGTAAGATAGTAGTCCAGTCTCATTTTTTTGCATGTAGCTGTCCAGTTTCCCAGCACCATTTGTTGAAGAGACTGTCTTTCCCCATTGAATATAGACCACATATGCGTGAGTTTATTTCTGGGCTCTCTATTCTATTCTATTGATCTATGTGTCTGTTTTTGTGCCAGTACCATACTGTTTTGATTACTGAAGCTTTGTAGTATAATTTGAAATCAGGGAGCATGATACCTCCAACTTAGTTCTTTCTCAAGATTGCTTTGGCTATTCAAGGTCTTTTTTGGTTCTATAGAAATTTTAGGATTCTTTATTCTAGTTCTGTGAAAAATGTCATTGGTACTTTGGTGGGGATTGCATTGAATCTGTAGATTGCTTTGGGTAGTATGGACATTTTAACAATATTAATTCTTCCAGTCCATGAGCATGGTATATCTTTCCATTTATTTGTGTCTTCTTTAATTTCTTTTATCAGTGTCTTATAGTTTTCAGAGTATAGGTCTTTCACCTCCTTGGTTAAATTTATTCTTAGGTAATTTATTCTTTTTGATGCAATTGTAGATGGGATTCTTTTCTTAATTTCTCTGATAGTTTGTTGTTAGTGTATAGAAACACAGCCAATTTCTGTATGTTAACTTTACAGTTGTATCCTGCAACTTTACTGAATTCGTTTCTTAGTTCTGATAGGTTTTTGGTAGAGTCTTTAGGGTTTTCTATATATAGTGTCATGTCATCTGCAGATAGTGACAGTTTGACTTCCTCCTTTCCAATTTGGATGACTTTTCTTTCTTTTTCTTGTCTAATTGCTCTGGCTAGGATTTCCAATACTATGTTGAATATAAGTGGCGAGAGGGGGCGAGAGGGGGCATTTCTCTCTTGTTCCTGATCTTAGAGGAAATGCTTTCAGCTTTTCATCATTGAGTATCATGTTAGCTGTGGGTTTGTCATATCTGGCTTTTATTATGTTGAGGTATGTTCCTTCTGTACCCACTTTGTTGAGAGTGTTTATCATAAATGGATGCTGAATTTTGTCAAATGCTTTTTCTGCATCTATTGAGATGATCATATGATTTTTATCCTTTTTTGTTAATGTATGTTTTTAATTGGACCGTTCTTGTATCCCTGGAATAAATCCCACTTGATCTTGGGGTATGATCACTTTTAATATATTGCTGAATTCAGTTTGCTTGTAGTTTGTTGAGGATTTTTGCATCTATGTTCATCAGGGATATTGGCCTATAATTTTCTTTTTTGTGT